ATATGTCCTTGCTTCCTAATTTCTTTAATTTCTATGGCTAACGGGGCGTACTTATTGATTTTTTCTTCTTCTTTTATTTTTGTGTTTGCATCATTAGAGACTGTTGTGTCTGTCAGCTATGTAGTTTTTGTTTCTTTGTCTGTGTATGTTATATCGGGTCTGTTGTGTGCTACTGTTTTGTCTGTGTGTAATGTTGTGTCTCAGTATATTTTTTCTATTTGCTACTCTAGTATCGTTTTTGATTTTGCGTGGTTTGTGTAATTAGATTGTGTTTCTGTGCTATTTGTTGGTGTATTATTTTTGCTATTGTATTGTGTCTATGTGTTGCCTATTTTCCTTTCTCTATTCTCAGTATTTTACATGCTGCAAGCCAAATTCCATGTATATGTCCGTGCTTATGTTTTCTGCAGTTTTTATTAATTGCTGTATTTGGTTTTCAATTTCTGCGCATAATTTGATGTCGTCCATATACATGAGGTGCTTTATTGTATGTGTTGTTCTACTTTTACATTTTATTTCGAATTCGTATTTTGCTTTGTTTAGTGTTCTGGATAGGAGATTTACACACATGCAGAACCATGTAGCGCTTAGGGTGTCTCCTTGAAAGATCTCCCTTCCGATCTTTTACTTCTATTTTTCCGTTGCTTGTGTTGAGGTGTATGATTGTTCTCCGTAATTTCATTGTTTTTTCCAGGAAGTTTATTAGTGTTCGAAATATTCTATAGATTTCTAGTGTTTCGATTTCTAGTTATGTGGGACAGAATCGACTGCTTTTCTGTAGTCGATGTAACATGTGTATAAGTTTCTGTTCTTTTCTTGAATTATTATTGTATCTATTGTCAATTACTCTTTACAGCCTTGGCTGTTTTTCCTACACCCTTTTTGCTCTTCTGTTAGTATATTGTATTCCCATAAGTGTTTTTCTATTTTCTGTATTATTATTGTTGTAATTATTTTGTATAATATTGAGAGACATGTTATTGGTCTGTAGTTAGATGGGTCCTGTGTGTATGTGTCGTTTGGTTTTAGGTATATGATTCCTTTTGTTAAGAATTATGGTATGTCGTGTGTTGTATGCGTGATAGCTTGCGCGAGTGATTCGTGTAGTTGTGTCAGTTTCTTGTACCAAAAGTTGTGTCTTGCTTCTGTGCCTAGTGTTTTCCAGCTATGTAATTTTCTGATGATGGTTATGTCAGTTTTTGTGATTTTCACCTCTTGTGCATTGTCTATGTGTGCGTATTGGTTTTTTTCTTCCTTTATTTATGGCGCCTGATAATTGTGCGTTTTCTTGTCGTTTCAGATTCTATTCCATAATTCCTCTATTTTTATTTTTTTTGGTGTCGTCATATGTATATCTCTGTTACTATTGAGTCCCTTATAGAAGTTTTTCTGATTTTTGTAAAACAGGTAGTTTTGTCTTCTTCTGCCTATTGCATCTTTGTATCTTTTATGTCTCATGCTGTACACTACTATTTTCTGTTTTATCGTGTAGGTGGTTTTGTGGCTCTATTTCGGTATTATTTGTTATGTGGCTTATGCTTCTTAATTTTGTGTGTTGCGTTAGTCTTCCGGCATCTTTTCGTAGTATATCTATTTCAGTCTCGATCCTTTTCAGCCAATATAGATTTCTATTTTCCTTCTGGTAGTTTGTGATGGGTTCTTGCTTATTCAGTTGTATTGCGGTGCTAGCTGCACTATATGTTATTGTATGTATCTCTTGGAGTGTGGGTGTATTCTTGTTGGTCAGTGTTGGTATATATTGTCTTATCGTTTCTATTATTTCATTTATTTTTTTGTTTATTTTAAGTTTTGGTAGTCTGGGTCTTGCTTTCAGTTCTATTGTGAACTAGTGTGCATATTGTTCCTTTAGTTGTTCCACGATTTGGTCCGTCTGTGTGTTTCTTTGCATATTTTCTTGCATCTCTTTATTTAATAACCTGTGTGGATGTAGTCTTGTGTCATTTAGATCTGTGGTTTCTGTGTTTGTTCCTTGCTGCGCTATTTCTTCTTTAATTCTTTGTATTCTGTTTTGTAGTATTCTATTGTTATTTATGGTTGTGCGTTTTTTGGTCTATTAATCTTTTCCATGATGTTCATACGATGGTGTTTTTCTCTAAATATTTGTGATACTCATTCATTTCGATCGTTTATTTCATGTACTACCGAATCTTGCCTGTTTCTGTAGTCATCGACCTACTGTCTGATGAAGCACATTCAGTAGTTGCAGATCGAAGCTGTTGGGCTCTGCTACTTCTTGTCATGGCGGTTGTCTTTTCGGGTGACGTGGTACAGTAGTGTCAAATAAACAAAAAGAAAGTCCAATCTACGATACCAATATATATATATATGAAGTATAATTAAATATTTCTGTCGTATGACAATTACTTTTCTACCTACATTCTTATTACTTTATAATATAATAATATAATTTAATAAAACATAGTATGATCATAGTATCATTATCATCTATTTTACTTAAACTAATATTTTTGCCGCATTGTTCAGCTTATTTCCTTTTTTGCTCTCTTTCTTATAGGCAGCCGAAACGTTCGTGTTTTTCTTGTCAGTTGATTCAGGGTTTCTGTTTTCCGCAAGTTTCAACGGCCTCGAAGTGAAACGAAAGTTCACGCTTAACTCCATCGAAGGAAGAACGAGTAGTCTACGGAAAATTTTATTTCGCCCAATCAGTGTAGGCGCACCGTGAACCGTTAAGAAGTTTTTTCACGCATGAATCGACGATAGGGGAAGGAAAATGGAAGAACCGGGAAAGTTCCGGCCGAGAGACGAAGCGCTAATCTATTACTTTTATCTGCCATCGGTTTTTTAGCGTTGAATCGATCGAAGCATTGAAATCAACTTGATTTAATCCCGATAGCAAATCTGTAGCCTTATCAGACTGGAAGTGGTCTTAACAGCGATTTTAAAGGAAATGTGAACAGTCAGTTGCTAACGTGTCATCCGAGGAACATGCTGTTGGCGTTTCTGCTGCTCGCGTTCGCGTTTGCGGACTGTTACGATCCCAGGATAATAGGAGGATCCAGTACGACAATCAACCAGTACCCATATCAGGTAAATTAATTTTATGTAAAAGATTTTTCCATTCTTGAAGACACTATACTTTTAGAGGTAACACAGAAAGAATAATTTGCATCGTTTTCCTGTACTGATAAATGTAATTAATGGTAATGCAATTTTGTTTGAAAAAACATAACAATTTGAAACCAGGGAAAATACATAGATAGATATATATATTTTAAAATCTTATGCCGTATAATGTTCTAATAAAAATGCATTATCTTTTACTATAGTGATAGAATATTATAGGAAATTAAAATTTATTCAATTGAATGATATTCCTTGCAATATTTAATTCTACCTAGATCTGAACAAATAAACGTTCGAGATTTTCTGGCGGTCCGAACACATTATTGGCATTCAAAATATTTGCTTGAATAATTTAACCTTCCACACATATACGATACACACACAGTGACTCGAAAGGAGCTGAGATGTTTGTATTGCATAAATTTTATCCATTGTCAATTTTAATTCTTATTAACATTAGATCCCTGATATAGACCTATTTATTTCAAACATTCCATCTACATTTTCGCAAATTCTAAAATGCAGTTATGCTTAATAATTATAAATATCAAACGATCCCACCCGCAAAGCGTAATAGATTTCCATTTTTGTTTGAGAAACTTCTGATTAACACGTGTCTTAAAAATTCATATCATTATGTACTTTCTTTTTTACACTTGTAAAGTGTTCAACGCTGCATGTTTTTTCTTTGTAAAAGGTATTTTAAAAATATATGTCATGATCACTACAGCGTGATTCTATATCTTACATGCGATGGAAAGTAATGTAACAAAGTACTCGCAAAATTCATTCTGACCTTGAAAAAAGGCTTAAAATTCTAGTAATTATTTACAACACTGATTCCCCTCCGAATTGACTGACCTTGCAATATGTTCGTAGGGGACTTGATTCTGAACAACGTTTTCAAGAGGTTTCATACTCATTTACAAAAAGAGTAACCATTGTATGACCTTGCTCTTGACATATATTTTCAAGGTCATTCTTATGTACACTCAAGACTTTAGGCTTTTTGACCGTGAGTACTGGTTCAAAAGTTATAAAATATTAAAGTTTCGTATTGCGCTAGAAATTTTCGTCTTCATTTTTATTTATTGAAGTTGTACCTTATAATATGTGTATTTGAACTTCATTTAGATAACAGAAATTGATATTAGTGGGATGGAATTTTCTCTCTGTTATCTAAATAAAATTCGAGTACACATACTATAAGGAACGCGATTTCGATATATGAAAATGGAAAATGGTTTGATGAGTATACATGTCATCTTAAAGCTTGAAATGATACTATCCTTTCAACGATGAATTCTTTGGTATTGGTATGTTTCTACAAAAATTGATTTTCCATTAAAATATACTCTACGTGAGTTCGTCCTGCGTTTGACGAGTACGCACTTCATTTTTTGATTTTATTGCGCGCAAAACGAAAGATTTTTCAAACTAAATTCCACAGTTAACAGGTTAATGCTCCTGGGTGTATAAAACAATGGCCTTAATAATATATGTCAAAGTGAAGGTCATAAAAGGATTACTATTTTTGTAAATAAATACGAAAGCTCCCCATTCCTGGACGTACGTTTGCATAACATTTTTGTAACATGTATGGGGAAAACTTGTTTAGAATTATGGCTTTGATGACATATTTCAAGGTCATCCAAATTGGCGAGGAATCAATGTTGTAAATAGTTGGTAAAATTTTTTATCGCTGCATCGAGTTATACTCATTGCGAAAGTAAATAGTCTGAACAGAACTATGGGCCGAAAATGAATAGTTTATTTGCAAATTCCTGTTAATGTTTCCATGGGAGTGTAAAGAACTACAATATCCCATATTAAGTTAGATTAGTTAAAGTAGCAAATGTAATGACTGCATTCTCTGACGGTACAAAATGATAAAATGTGACGCAGCTTGACACAGGATGAAGTTCTGTGAGTCTCGAGTTTGGTGACCCATCGTGTAACAGAAAAGGACATTGAATACCGTGGTCCTTCACTCACCCATAGGAATTTCAACAGCGTTTTATAAGAAAACTATTCAATTTCAATCCATAGTTTCTTCCAAACTATTTACTTCGACACACACGATGCATCGACAACAAACTTTAACCCTTTTTTCAAGGTCAGGAAAAATTTTGCGAGCATTTGCTTACAACCTTGTCTATCAAATGGAAGATGTAGAATCACGCTGTGGTGGTTGTGAGATATATTTTTGAAACACCCCGTACATAATATTAATTTTATTGTAGACAAGAAACTTTTGTTCAAAATGAATGAGGTAAAGATATTTTTAATCTTGGTCAAGAAGTTGCTTTTCTCAAGCGGAATAATTGTCCCTTTCTAAAGCAAATTATTACAACCACTTGTATTTTATCGCAGAAAATCAACTTGTGTTGAAAAAACATGGATATAAAGGTATTTTTAATTTTGTCTATGAAATACTCCTCGTCGAATCTGTGTACGTTTTACCTAAAATGTAAGAATTTTCCTCTAAACTTCATAAAACAATTGTATCCAGTATTATTAACACTAAAACTACCGAATGGCTCGAAATGACTGAATGACTTGAATGTTTCTTTTACAATTATTGAAAAAATAAATGTTTTTCTGAGAAAGTATGAAAGAAATTGATTTAGTAACACGCAAACTGAATTGAGCCGTTCATTTTGAAAGTGGATTAAACCCAACAAAAAAAAGGAAAACTATTAAAAATAAAATGATAATATAGAATTCGAATTGTTATAACCATTAAGTTGATTTTTTTTTAGGAAAATGAACTTACGCCACTTTCAAAATAAACGATTCAATTATAAGTCAATCGAAATCCCAATAGATGTACTCTTAGAATTTCTATAAAAAAATGTTAAATGTCAACTTGACTGCTTGGTGGTTCTAATGATAGAACATCATGTTATCCGAACTGGCGAAATAATCATTTCTGTTATACAGGTGTCTATCCACTTTAATGGCAAGCTTATATGCGGTGGTTCCATAATCAGCCCGGACTGGGTGTTAACGGCGGCGCATTGTGTCTACGGGTTTGTGTTGATTGAGTTATGGAATGACGCGAGACCCAGTAGATAATTTATTAATTATCGAGACGCGAAATTGCTACTTCGTAAACTGCTTCGTACAATGATCCGTAGTTAATTGGAAGTACATTTCAGGTATAACCCATCGTCTTTTACAATTCGTACCAAGAGCACTTATGGCTACCAAGATGGTACATTGATCACCGGGATACAAAGAATATACACTCATGATTATTACGATGACGAAACCGACGAATACGACGCTGCTTTGATAAAGGTACGTCTATCCAGTGAATTGTACTTGCCGGAAAGATGAATTATTTTTTGGCTGGAAGAATAATAAAAAGGTTATTTGCTTATTTCAACAAGTTTATTGATAATTTTGTGATTATAACGTAAACGGAAATGGTATAAATAGATAGGATAATGATAATCTTTCGTTTTTATACCGGTGATCGTTTTATTTCTGTTTGTGTCATTTTAATCTCGATAAACTGCCTATACTTATCTATCTATAATCCGTTATAATAACTTTTGATATATCCTTTAACGATGTTTCAACGCCTTACACCGATAGACGTTTCTACGGTAAAAATTTATGGGAGAAACTTTAACTATTAAGGAAGATTAATGAATTAAGGTTAAACTTTGAGAACAAGAATAATCATCTTCAGAACAAAAATATTATGTTTTTATACTAATGGAAACAAAAGCCCTTTTTGTGGAAAACTGTCGTAGTTTAAAAAACATACTCTTACCTCTTAAGGATTACGTATTCAGGCCATAGAACAATTGCAACTCAGAAATTTCATTTCTGCCAGAGTTATAAAGTTTTTTTATTTTGGCGTGCCAAGTAAAAACCACCTGCTCTGTATGTCGGTCCTCCTTGCTGCAAAGCTTGTTTTCTTTGTAATTATCCAGTTCATATAATCTTTCTTGCACACTTGTATCAAAGCTTTACTCTCACATCTTAATACTAGTTTCTCGTGGCAATGTTAAGTAAGTTTTACCGATTATTTGTTCATGTGCATAGTATTGTTTTTAAATGATTCCAGCATTTTTAGCATGACTTTCATTACATTTATTGGTAGTTTTTGTAAACTTTAACTTCATAGCCTATTTATATTGTTAGTATTCAGCATCTGTATGGCGATATAGAAAATCATTCTTTAAACAGAAATCATCTCTTTGCACCCAAAATAATCAGTATAAGAGTTTTCATTACAAAATGCATATTTACATATTTCATATTAACAAAAGTAATATAATGTAAATACAAAAGTTTTGAAATCTCATTGGTGAATAATTAAAAGTTAACTGCTTTTCAGCTGAGTTTTCCCTTCAAACGGTCTTTAAATATATCTAAAATATTCTTAACAGACGATAGGGAAAACATATTGTTAATAGATTCAAATTTATTAATTATAAAATATACACAATGCAATTAATAATAGCTTCTATCGCCAATAAAAAGAAATACTCTTACAATTAGTAGATATTTCTTTTCCTTAACAATAGATCTACCGAGCAGTCAAATTTGTCCAGTTTCTTTCTTTATTTATTATATATATCATTGATTAAGATTTCAGTTGCCTTATATGTTAGATTACTCATTAGTAAATCAACTGATGCAATAATTATTTACAGTTAGTAAAGTATCAGTATTTGTTCAGCAGTGTTAAAGAAAAAATCCGAAGTGGGCAACTTTGACTGATCCAGTAATTCTAAAGTTAAATTTACCAAATCAGTATCGAGCATCATAAAATGTATTTACATAGCACAATTATCCTAGCTCCCATCACCGATAAAGGTAGACGCGAATGCGAGGCCGATCGGCTTGCCGTCTCCAGGCAGCTCTGTGCCGACCGGAAGTGTCGCCGTGGTAACAGGATGGGGCTACACGTCGGTAAGTTTTTCCTCGTGTCTCTACATGGATCGTTTTGACAGCTATTGCATAGGTAAACTGTGTTTGACGATGGCACGATGCTTCGGTCAACGGTAACATTCCCCGAGACTGATTACCCACTGCGAACTCGCGTAAACATTAAGGTTTGTTTGTCGATCGGTCGACAATGTTCGATCGTCAGGGCAAACATTCCTCGCGGCGAGTATGTACGAGCACGTTTGCATTGCCTCGACCCGTCAGTCTGCGACTCGGTTAGGTCATCCGTTCGAAATCACGTGGTATAATATGCAGTCACTTACAGGTTGGGGGATCGACACCGAGCAAGTTGCAGGTATTGAATGCGCCAGTCGTCGATCAAAACACTTGTAAAAAGATCTATGCCACCAAGTACAAGGAAGTGACGAAGGCGATGCTGTGCGCTGGCACTATGGTGGGTGGCCAGGACACTTGTCAGGTAAAGATTTTGGGTCAGCTTGCAGATTAACCTAAAACCATCATGCTAGACCTTTCGAAATTCTATAAATTTTCTTTCTCGTGTGATAATATTATTAATCCTCGATAGCTACAATATGGAATATGTGCTAAGTATTGAATACGACGATATCTGAAAATCTTGATACTGTCATCCACTGGCAATAAATGTGTTACGGTTGATATAATAAATCCGGTTTGTATAGATAGTACTAGTATTAATTATATTTATCGGTAATTATTAATAATTACTTTTGTAGTTTGATATATTTCATAAAAACATTTTTTTGTATTGTTTCTACTATTTATGAACAAATATATACTACACTTTTTAATGTGGTTATAAACTATTTCTATATTTTTGTACAGGAAAAAGTTTGGACAATATAATTTTTATTGGCAAAAATATATTACAAAACATTTTTCCATAAACTACTACAAAACGAAAACTATACATTTATCTGGTATAAATTACTTATTTATTTCTATAAAATGAAGTTTTGATAAAATAATATTTATTCATAAAATTATATTATATAAATCATGACAAATTATATATTTTATCAGATTATAAGTAATTTATTTATTTTTACAGAAAGAACTTTTATGGCATTTGGAATTACAAATTATTTTTGACTGCTTACATTTTCAGCGATTTGAATTACAAACGCCTGTACAATTGTATTGAAATCCTTGACCAACTAAATTAGAATTCAACCGAGCACATTCGCTCAAAATTACTCCATTGTTTGGAACTTTGTTAATCGAATAAAAGTTTCCTTGCAAATACTAAATTAATTTCTTGCATACAGTTGGTTTGAAATGCCTTTTTTACCCAGTTTCTAGAGTATTTCAATTTTCCTAGCATGGGATACTTTGAGGAGCTCCATATAGGACGACTTGAATTGCAGATTATGGGTATCTGCTTTCGTCGAATTCTGTTATGACGAAACGAATATAGATTATCACTGATTTCTACAACATAAAATATTTAAATATATTACTTTTTCGTTTAATTTAATATAAAAATATTAGTTTTGTTTGATTTTATATGAATAATAACAAATTTTATTTTTTTTAAAGTTAATTATAAAATTTATTGCTTATTCATTTACGTTTTACTTTCTGTATTCTGAAGAATAAATTCCATGTAATGTACTATTCCGTGTTAGGTACACATAGTATTTCATATTGGGAGTCGTACAAGCCTAACATGGGAAATGATTACTTTAATAGAAATAATAAGTATTGTTTAAACCTTTATGATATTTTAAATTTGACTGTTATCAGTCAAAAGAGTGTAAAATTCCCTATAAAGCCACAGTATTCAAGTTTGTATAAACGCACTGTGAATGAGTAAAATACCAACATAAAGAAATAGTAATCCATATTGTGGCAATTCATTCTATATTAGATAGAAACAAAATTTTGTTGGTGCAGTTTGTTTTAGTATTAATCAAGTTAAATCAAAATTTTCTGTATACAAGATAAATTCAAGAAACGTAAAATTCATCTCGACAGTTAAGGGTTAAGTACTCCCTCTCTGATTTTACTGATTTTTAAATATATTATAGAATTCGATATTTTGAATAACTTTTTTCTGTTATAAAAATGATGGATAATTTTAACTTTCTACATGTTCGTAAAAGATTATCGGTACTGGTACATTGATTCTTACTGACACGTATGTATCTGTGACATACTCGCAAAAATAACGGATTAAATAGTCATCACCCATGTTTGTTTTTGTTTGACATCATGTTTCTCATCGTGTTCATATTTTTCTTTTTCATTTATTAGTGCTTTCTTACAGTATACACGGTGTTCGGTAGTACAACGGAGCAAGGACGAATTCTATGCGAAAAAGTGAATGAAAACTGTAGAATAAACTTTTTTCATTTGAGACTTAGTTTCGCAATTGACTTTGAAAATTTACTCGGTACGCAAGCACTTGACTAGAATTAGGTTTGCATTTATTACATTAGATAATAGGAAATATAGAATGAAATAGAGTATTGCCGTATAATAAAGTTTATTGTTAAAAAGACTGCTGAAAGCAATGCTCATTTTTCTGAATACATAAATCTGCTCGTCGAACTAAATTTCTATGAATATTTCCTATTGTGTTCCGCGCTTTTAACACGTTGAATGCCATGGGGGTCGCAGGTGACCGCCAACTAAATCGAATTACTACAGTTTACTCAATGAAACGATGATTATTTGAAAACATTTATACATTATAAACAATGCTACTTAACGGGATGACATTGAGCTAAATGAATGTGCAATAATAATAATGCAATTCAATAAAATGATCAAATATTATACTTTTTCCATTTCGTGTATTGTGCTTTATGAAACCGTACGGCATTCAATGTGTTAATCTGCTCAATGCGAACGCGATTTTGTCTCTTAATTGTTTCATATTAGTGATACCTCTGTATCCCTGATTGCCGTACGTCGACACAGTGATAGACTGATGAACATTGATTTTCCAGAACTGGAAAATTATGATAATAGAAATGCTACGAAGTCCGCCTTAGTATTGGGAATGTTTATAAATGTAAATCTAATTAATCTTGGAGCCAACAATCAGGTCCATTAAGTGGAAATATAGTCAAGTGCACGCATACTGAGCATATGTTCAAAGTCAACATTTTATTCTACACTCTCGATTTACTTTTGCACATAGAATCTGGTCTTATTTTGTTGAACTACCGGTTACGAACACCCTGTATAATACAGTAATAAATATCTTACTTGCCTTTGTGCAAATTACTTTCTAACATAAGTAGGGTTTTAAGTGGCATACTAAGAAATACTATTTAGCCCTGATAAAATATAGAACTGGCACTCTGTATAGGAATGAGTTTCATCTAGATAGCAGAGAGGTACCTATTAGTGGGCCTCATAATTTTGAGATACGGCATTTGCTTTATAAGTGGCAAAAGTCGCTCGGAAAAGAAAAGAGCTCGATATTTTTGGAAGAAGAAAACGTCGATCAAAATTTTGATTTCTATAACATATTTGTAAATGATTAAAATCGATGGGAGAATAGTTAATCTATTAGCTAATTTATTAGCGAATTGAACGGTATTGAATAAATATTTTCCAGTAATTAATTCATGATTATATAGATAATAAAATAATATAAAAATCTAGCATTCAATAATTGGAAATTTTTGTTAATATAATTTGTTTGTGTTACGAATAAAATAACTGTTACATTTACATATATGTAACGTATTTATAACATATACTGCTAATTCAAATAATTTCTCAAATTTAATATGCTTATAATATCTTAGTTTTCTTATTTTAAATAGAAATATTCTTTTGTACTTCCAATATCGTATTTTACCCTGTAATATTGAAATTGATTAAAAGATGTCATTGATATTAAACTAATTGATTACTTGAATATCCGTTTCTCGGTTCGGTATGTACGCTGAATGATGTTATAATTTTCGAACAAGCTGTTTGTTTAACTTCATTGAAATTATGTACACTTTTAACAAAATGTTCGCACATAATTGATAATGTAAATCAGTTTCCAACAGAGGAGCTGTGTAAATACCACTTCAAAAATACACATTTGATATGTATCGCACATTTGCTCATCATGTTTTCCTGGAAATCAAAGACACTTTAATGAATTCTCGTTATAGAATCAATATTTAGATAAACGTTTTTTCCAAGAATCCAAATGATTACCATCAAATTACACAAACAAGGTTAAAAAATATTCAAATGTAAAATATGTTTGATTAGATCTATATACATTTAAAAATGCGTATCAACTGAAATTAAATCAAGTAATATTGATAATAATTCATCAAACTTTGTCTTAATGCGGATACTTCGCTAATTGCTTTGATCGATTAAGATTATGTAAGGTATCGTAACATGTTATCATCGAAAAAATAATATTGTGGTCCGCGTTATCTCGACACATTTTTTATCGCATTCACATAATATTATTTTTTAATACTTCAGGGTAATTAACGATTACAGATATTTTTCCTTAAATATTTTGTGTCACTGTTTTTTCTTTTCCATATATTTTTTACATAGTTACATTTTTAATACTGAAGATGTTTTTCAATAAAAATAATAGATATTATTTTTGTGCCACAGGGAGACTCAGGTGGTCCTCTGGTGTACAAAGATGTTCAAATTGGTATCGTATCCTGGGGCTTCGAATGCGCGAGACCTGGATTTCCTGGAGTATACACGCGAGTGTCCGAAGTGCGCTCCTGGATAGACAAAACTCGCCGAAGTATAAAATAAATATCTTTCGGTGTACGCCTCGAGCAAAGATTAATTTTTCCTCGTTCATTGTGAACGTGCTTCTATCCAATAAAAAGAGAACACCGATGAAAATTGATCCTATTAATTTTTCATATAAATACATTCCAAGTTTAAGTCACTAATTTATAGTTTTTGTACTAAGCGAAAAAAAGACGTTGAAAGGAGTCTTTAAAAAAGTATATTGAAAACGAATCAGCGTAACTTAATGAACACTGATTGCTTCGCAGAAATTAACAAGTCGCTCGTATCTCGGAATTTCGAAGTGAATTACGGATTCAATGTTCAGAAAGATGGTAATCTCGGGATGTTAATACCTCGTTCGTTTCGAATCGGAAAGTGATTCGGTGAAATTAATATGGGTCAGAATTTTCGCGGCTTGTCAGATAAATTTGGCGCGGAAAGAGCAGATTTAATATTTGATATGGCGCCAATGTATCCACCGCGTGCGACGACAGTCAATTAAATTATCGAAGGAACTCTTCCGCAAGCGTTCCGGAACAATTAATGCTTCTTGTGCCGCGAAATACGATGATTAACCAATTCACTTTCCATCCGACCGAGGATTGTGTTCAGAACCGTATTACCGTTAATTTTCCAGGAAGGGCTGCGCAATTTTAAGTGCCATTGAAGCATATCGACGAATTCGGCTTGCAACATTATCTTAATGACGGTTCTGCTTAAAAGCCGCTGGAAATCGATTCTGGTTGCAATCAATTTGTTAATGCTTTGCGAAATCTTCGCTTTCATTAAATAATTGTCCTTTTATTCATAATTACATTTACAATTCCAGAATCAATCACGGAATTAAATTTCGTGGGAACAAATATAAGAAATTTGATCTTTAAGTAGTACTAATTAATAAATGAATTACTATTTTAAGGTTATGTATTAAATAACGCAAATGTAACGAAATTTCTGTAAAAAAATGTAAAGAGTTTTGTGGAAAAAAGGTATTGAGAAAAAAGAAAAAAAATAACGTAATACATGAACATTTCATTGTGTGGATGTCAGTTATTCGAACAGAGTATTTATTAGCAATTAATGTTCTAATTGAACGATCATTTTGCGCGGTAACTGATATCAATAAATTTATGCAATTTAATGATTAGGGGGGTATATTATTAATACACAGATATTTAAGCCAACTGCTAGTATTTATAACCTCTATTTAAATAATTGTCATTTAAGTGTCAATAAAATAGTGGTTCCACTATTCGAAGATTTCTTCATTCGAACAGTTACGTCTCCCTATTAATGTGAATATGGGAGTATAATATTAGTTGTCCACAATGAGATCTTCATTAAATATCTAGCAAATAAGTTATTTCTATGAAAGGCGAATAAAATATTCTCAAGAGATAATTATATAAAACATTAAAAACAATCTTAAACATAAATGCTAGGGTTCAACCCATTTTGAGAAAAATACACGAAAAATAAAGAAGTTCTGCAGTTTAACAGAAAAAATGACTTTTTTCGCTAAATAATTTTAGCTTATATCGTTTAAAATGTGCTACAAATGAAAAATAAAATGATGATTACATATTCAATTTCTCATGTGTAACGAATAAAATATATTTCGTTTTAAGTCGATCGACCAATCAGTTTTCCTGTTATCGTGCACACCAATTTAAAAAACGCATAGTTTCAAGAAAAATGTGTATGAAGCCTCCCGATTCATACCTTACAGGTCTTACATTTTAGATGTTTTAGTTTCAGCGAATAAATTCGATCTAATTTTCCCAAAGTTCCTCTTTTTTTAATATTTCAAAGCCGAGTTGTTTAACATGTTTAACACATTTAGTTTTCTTAATTTTTATATTTTCGTCATCTCATCATTATCGTAAGTCTCTGATGTGTAACTGTGATGTATCGTACTATTGATCTATGATAAAAAGAAAACTCGATGTTTTTGACTCGTCATACCAAAATCTCACCTTTCACGTTCGCGACCACATAAGCGCTTATGTATGACATAGTGATTCGTTTAAAGTGTCTATGTGTGACGATGTTGATTACCATTGCTATGATGATACTACCATGTACTTGGCGTACGGTATAACCTATTGTCACTTTGGCTATATCAAAATATCATAGACGTATGATATTCATGTGAAATGTTTTGTTTGATTTATTAATTATGTTTTAAATGTGTAAAAGTTATATGATTAACATATGGCGTGTAGGGTATTTCAAATTCGACTGCGGTCGCGAACGTGTTAATATGGGTTGAAATTGTTACTTTTACTGATAGAAATGGACAAGGTCAGCATATACTTCGTAAAATTAAAGTTAATTAATGTAATTGAAGAGAAATGGTTGTTATGACAATCATAATAAATAGACCACGAAGCAAAAGAAACGGTGGCAAATACTTTGCGAATCGCTAAATTGACATTATTTATTCAAAGGATTATTTGAAACTACGTTATACTACTCTATTCGAGTTTTATGAAAGCAAAAGGTTAGTACAAAAGCGCAGAGGAACACAACGTTTCAACTAGATTATTTGATGTACTTATTTGGCGGTCTCTCATCTTTCTTCTTCTAATTATTAGAGATGTACGTAAAATATATTTAATATTGCATAATGTGTTCCGTATTTAGGTCTGGTTCATGTTTATGTTGGTACATAATAAACTTAATAATTATCAATTACAGTTATCCTTATTCGTTATTATTTATAATTATGTAGTAAATACCAAGAAGAATACCTAAAATTCGTACTTATTAAATTTATTACGTGGTAACATATTAAGAAAATCATTCCAATTCTAATCAAAACACGATCAATGAGTATAATATGATTGTAATATCGAATATTGTACATTTCTTAAACTAACTTGTCAGATCGAACGAGAACGGAGTGATTAAGCGTTGCAGTGATGCGTCTATACGAATTCAAGAGTGTTCATAACGATGACAGCTTTTACTGAATTTCTTATTGAGAAAGCTATCTTTAACATTAACTAATCACAAATCTAATATATGTATAAACATTAATATATAAAATTTATGTAAATCTTGCTAATCCTACACCTTAAATAAATTTATAGCTTGGTTAAATAAATCTAACTCAAAATGTTAAAAATTTTTTAACGAATATCTTACAACCTATAAAAGACGTCAAATAAGTTATTTAAAAAAGTTGCTCAGGATCATGATCTCAATAGCAAACGTAAAACTCAAATTCGTTACTAACGTAACTAAAATTTTTACATATTCCTCACTATGACTAATTTGTTAAACTAATATACAGTCAGCAGCAGATTTACCATCGAAAGAACATTCAAATACACAATTCCCAGGTCCATGGAATCTTCCCAGGTGTCAATTTTAAATACTGTGCTTCGATATGCAAACAGCGTTCCACAGTTTGAAATTCTAAAATGTTTCGCCAAGTGAAAC